ACATAATAAAATAAATTTGGAATTACTACTGACATTCTATTCCTGTTGTACAAATATTAAATTGTACAAAAATTAAATATTTATTGTTATGGTATTTCCATAAGTTGTAGTTAAATGTTTAGATTAATTATACAACTTACTTTGTTTCTTATCGCATGTTGCAACAGCATCAATTTTAACCATCAATTCCTCTAAGAATTTTGTAAAAAATAAAATAAAGTTAGTAAATAAAATTGTAAGTTATAAATGGAGTTATAATCTTATAATCAAAAGTTAACAAACTTGCATTTAATAAAACTTACTTTTTTCCTTAGTGTATGGGATTATTATATCATTTTTACCCATGAGAACCTCTAACACTGCTGAAACTATTTTGCTAGGATCTTCACGATAACAACATGCCTAATAAACAGAAATCTGAATAAATAAATAAATAAAAACTTCAATTATCAAATGATTATCAAATAAAAATCTGAAATGAAGAGAGATTTTAACATTTATAGATAAATTCAAAATCTTAGAATACTTGTATGATTCTATTTCTTGAAGAGGCAGGAAAATATCTAACACAAGTTGGTAATCTTTGCTCAAACTTTACATTAGTGGATATCTGATTTTGCCAACTCCAGAAATGATCATTTGGAATAGATGTTAAAATGTAAATTTGCTCTTCTAAAGTCAAATTGATTGATTGTTCTAATTAATAGCAAAATACTTTACCATTGTTATCTCTGACACAACGATAATCCAACAAAAGCTTTTCCCAACATTTATTTTCACCATCAGTACAAAGTAAAAATCTAAATAATTGCCAGAAATTAAAAGACACTTTAACAGATAGTCACATTACTTAAATTTAACTTGACTCATTAGCTGTTTCATTAATTTTAAAGTTATTTAAAAATAAAACTAGTAAAGTAAAAATAGTGCAACACTTAGCACAAACAATAATAATAAAATAAATCAAAGCTACCTTTTATTATCTGATTTATTGGATGTGGACCATTTCTTGATTTTGTACATTGAATAACACTATATAAATAAACATTTGCTGCTTTTTGATTCAATATGTGGCTTAATTTGATTGAAAATTTTTTGAAGACTGCTTTTGATATATGCTTTTGATATATTTGAAATTTGTCAATAAAACCTATTTTTTGAAAAAATTGGCGTTTTTCTTCCTAATAATAAAATTATAAACTATATAAATCTATGTGTGTCTCTCCTTCTCTCTCTCTTTATATATATATGTATATATATATATATATATATATATATATATATATATATATATATATATATATATATATATATATATATATATATATATATATATATACATATATATATATATATATATATATATATATATATATATATATATATATATATATATATTTTAGAAAAAATTAAATACCATGTGTTTTTGCTTTTAATAGAGGCTATCTTGCCTTTTTGAATGGGATTCTACATCTTGACTTGTGTAAACTTGATAGGGAAGAACTGAATTGATTCCGGATTTTTCTTTTAATTTTGAATGAATGAGGTTCTGATAACATCCACTTAAACTACCAAACTCAAAATATCTGGCAATATATATGGCACCTTCAGCAGATGTTAAAGAAAATAAAACACAATAGAATAAACAATCACTTGAACCAGAAGATGCCAGTGATAGAAAATTGTCCTCTGTCTTGAACAATAGATTTTTACATACTAAAAACTCAGATTCCATTATTTCGGTTGTTTCAATGATAGCTTTTATACCTTCAGAACACTTATTTAGATTGGAAATCATCACTTCTAAATTAGCTTCCACTAAATTGTTACAAATATAATTAAAAAAGCATCACAAAAACTCAAAATATAACTTATTATATAGAATATGTCGTTACTAGACTTATTATTTAGTAGTACAATATTTATACCAGTCAGTCACCTGATAATCATAGCGAACATCTCAAGTTACAAAACGGACTATGTGTTACTACTATTATAAACACTATTTTATTGTTTAGACTGTTGTAAAAAATTGTGCATTGGTATAAGCCACAAAACAAAATTAAATATTATTATATTATACAGTAAAATAGTAGAATTTTATTATCACAAGAAACTCTTTAATAAACTTTTAAACTATAAACTTTTGCTACTTTAAAACAAATCAAGTATGAATACTTACTTTGAAATCTTCACTTTCAAATGTTCTTTGAGAAATTAAATAAAGTATAATAAAGTCTAAAATCAAATCTAAAGATCAAATTAATCACAAGATTAACTTATGTATTATTTTCACCCTTAAAAACATTTAGGGTCTTTTGTGAGGATAACCACATTTAATTGTTTATTGACTAAATATTATATTAAATGTATTCTACATTACCAATGAATATAAATATTATAATAAAGATATTATCAAATGAAATGTATACTAAAAAAGAATTTAGTTGTAATATTTTCTTTATATAATCAATCAATTAATAATATACTTTAGAATATAGATCTCACATTCACGGTTATTTACAAATAGTAAATTAACCATGTTAATAAAAATATAAATGATAAAAGCTATTTAACATATTAGCCACAAAATGAAATTCCAGGACTTTAATCACATTTTTCAGGACATTTTATCATAAAAAACAATTTTGAATGTAATAATATAAAAAATTAAATTCAATTAAAACAAAGTAAATACAACAATGCAATAAAAATAAAGAAGACCTTTCAAACCATAGGAGCAAACTTGTCAAAATTAATTTTACAGAAGTATTATTTGTAACTACATCTATATATATATATATATATATATATATATATATATATATATATATATATATATATATATATATATATATATATATATATATATATATATATATATATATATATATATATATATATATATATATATATATATAATAATTTTTAAAAATCATTTTTGTAAAATTTAATTTTTTCATGGATTTTTTTTCAAATATAATGAATAGTTTTTTTTTTTTATATAAATCAAATGAACATTTTTCAACAGCTGTTTTATCATAATTTTCTTAGGATTTAATATGCTAATATTGGTTTTATATATATATATATATATATATATATATATATATATATATATATATATATATATATTATATATATATATATTTATATATAATATTTTATACTTTATATAAATATATATATATAATATTTTATACTTTATATAAATATATATATATATATATATATATATATATATATATATATGTATATATATATTAAATCATATTATATTAATCATTTTATGAAATTTTTTATTAAAGATTAATTGATTTCATTCAATTAAGTTATTAAAAATTAGGGTAAAAAGTTTTTATTTTAATATAATTAATAAATATTTAATAAATTGGTTTAATTTCACATTAAATAACGCTAATACAAATGGAGTTTATTTAAGATAATTTTATTTAACATAAGATATAACATGTCAGTTTACAAAAAAGGTTTATAAACAGTAACTAGTTATAATTATACACACACACACACATATATATGTGTGTGTGTGTTTATATATAAATAGTGATTGTGACCATTTTAATATATTGGTCGAAATAGTCACTGTATATATATATATATATATATATATATATATATATATATATATATATATATATATATATATATATATATATATATATATATATATATATATATATATATATATATATATATATATATATATATTATATATATATATATATATATATATATATATATATATATATATATATATATATATATATATATATATATTATATATATATATATATATATATAATATTGGCTTAATTTGTAAATATAATTAATATTAGTTTGGTCACATTACATGTATATATTATATATACAAGTAAAATGACCAAGCTAAAATTTAATATTAACTTAATACCATAATATGGTATTAGCATGGATTACTATTAGCTTGATTATAGTAGCTTAAAATATCTGTTTACAATATACACAAGTATATTTAAAGTTAAAATTATAGGATTAGCTTGGATTATTATTACTATTACTAATAGCTTTATATATAAATCAAAGCTGTTAATATTAACAAGCTAATATTATATTATAAGCTTGTTTATAATGTAAACAAGCTAATAGTATTAGCTTGTTTATATTATAAACAAGCTAATAATATAATATTAACATGTTATTATTAACAGCTTGGATTTATATATAATATTTATATTTTATTTATATATAATAGCTTGTTATTATTAATAGCTTAGATTATTATTAATAATTATCCAAGCTAATACTATAATAGAAGATTGGATTAATTATGCAATAAATAATCGAATCTGACTATTTATGATTTCATAATTCAAGGACTAATTAAAGTTTAATTTAAATGAAGTTATAAATAACAGCATTCTTATTTGGACTATCAATAGTTTAAATAACTAATTAAATTATCTTAAAACATAAAAAACAATATTTTGACAAATTTCCATCGGCTTTTGGATATTTAATGCGAACCGGACTTAAAATATGTTGTCTTAGGGTAATTCCATGTCAAAACAACAAGTCGAAATAACCCACCATCTCAGAAATACTTGATTTTTGGCACAAATGCAGTTAATAATGTCGTTAGTAATAATCGTAAATAATTTAGAGTCAATTTCATTATTTTAAGAGTTATGGGTCTTTGAAGTTTAAGAATTTTAAAATTCTATTATTCTCCGCTCTCTTAGCAACGTCTATAGTAACACTAAAATGTTAAAGTATACACAGTTAGATTAACCATTCGTTTACAAAATTTAATAGGTATAGAAACTTTTGAATAAAGAAATCAAAAATCATTACTTTAAGTTATTAGATCTTATATTTGATTAAAAACATTGAAATGCAAACCGGATTTTTAACAATAATTTTTTAGTAAACATGTCTAGTTTAAGATTAATTGCAGAAAAGGTATTGATCTATTCACTTTAAATCTTTACAAAAATAGTTTATATATAAATGCCTGTAAGAGGCAAAAATTATTTCATTGTTTTTTGATGCACATATCTATTTTATTATTGTTTTATTTTTGCAATTTTATTTTTGCATTTTTATTTACCGTTTTGGTTATAATCTCCATTTAAAGATTATAAATAAAATAATTTCTCACAAAAAAAAATGATTTTTCACATAGGTATTATACTCAAATGTTAGAACCAGTTGCTCCGTTTAATTAATTAAACAAGAAACCAGAAATTCATTTTTATTATAAACTAAATAAGTCTAATCATATGATTACACTTATTTAGTTTAATATAAAAATGAATTTCTGGTTTCTTCTTGTGTTAATTAAATGGAGCAATTGATTCTAACATTTGAATTTTGATTATAATACTCATGCGAGAATTTATTATTTATATAATAATAGTTTTAGAAAAATAAAATATTGAAATTGAATATTTTTATAATGGCTGGAACTTCACAATGCTCAGTTGGATTGATTTTAAAATCAAATTGTCACAAGTTAATATTTACAAACCACATTGGAATAAACTTTTTTCAAGATTAGTTCCAGATGAGCAAAATTTAGTTGCGCTAAGGTGTTGGTGTTTTTTCTGTTGAGAAGTTGCCTGTGTTTCAGAATAAATGCTGTGATCCACTGTTAGTTCACAAAAGACCGTGCAAAGGTTAGTAAAGCTTGTCATAAATTTTATAATAGTAAATT